ATCACCCTGTTCAAAATTCATGTCCAAGTGGATCAAAGACCTCAACATAAAACCAGATACACTGAACCTAACAGAAGATAAAGTGGAGTATAGCTTTGAACCATTGGCACAGGAGACAACTTTCTGAACAGAACACCAATAGCATAGGGACTAAGATCAGCAATTAATAAATGAGACTGCATGAACTGAAAAAAAAAACCTTCTGTAATGCAAAGGATACTGTCAATAGGACAAAATGGAAATGATCAGAATGGAAAAAGATTTTCACCAACTCCACATGTGACAGAGGGCTAATTTCCAAAATAAATAAACTAGACCTCAACAAACCGAATAATCCAATTTTTAAAAATGGAATACAGATCTAAATAGAGAATTCTCAACAGAGAAACCTCAAATGTCTGAGAAACAAAGAAATGTTCAACATCCTTAGCCATTAGGGAAATGCAAAACAAAATGACTTTGAGATCCTATCTTACACCTGGCAGGATAGCTAAGTTAAAAAACAGGAGTGACAGTTCATGCTGTTGAGGATCTGAAGCAAGGGGAACACTCCTCCATTGCTGGTGGGAGTACAAACTTGTACAGACACTTTGGAAATCAATATGGCAGTTTCTCAGAAAATTTGGAATTCATTTACCTCAATATCCAGCTGTACCACTCCTGGGCATATACCCAAAGGACTCTACATCTTACCAAATGGATGCTTGCTCAACTATGTTCATTGGATCTTTATTAATAATATTCAAAAATGGAAACCACCTAGATGTCCCTCAATCAGAGAATAGATTTAAAAATGTGATACATTTACACAATGAAGTGTTACTTGGCTGTTAAAAAGATAAGAAGGAACATTCTTGGGCTGTGCTCATAAAGTGTGCATTCAACTCCCCATGGGTGAAGTAGTAAAAAGATTCTAATGAAGCAGAAAAAAATCTTTAGCTTTGGAAGGAGCAGGTGCTGAATGGCTTCCCCTGTTCAGAGGAGAGACTCCTGGAAAGGAAATATCATCTTCTGTTCAGTTAAAGGAGAATAAATTAGCAAGGATGCAGAGGCTGAGTCCCGTGACATCAGCAGGCCCATTGCTGGACATTCTATTGTATCCTGGAGAGCTCTTGGAATCCCCAGTGATGTCACTAGTGTTGTAGCAACACCATGTGAGCTTAGGACATTCGTTCAGTACCTATAAGGTTCACCTACAGGCATGTTGTCAAGACTGAGGTGTCTACTTGGGAGAGATAATGGACAGCATGGAAAGACCAGAGTGAGAAAGAAGGAAGCTGGCCCTAGGTCTCACTGCAAAACATGGAGAAATAAATGGTCCTGGGGAAGACACAGTGAGTTCATGGAAGGGACTAGGGAGCTTTCTGGATATGATGCCCTTGAGCTTTCCAGGCCTAGGGCTCAGGAACTGGGAGTATCTGGAAAGCAACAGGCCTATCATGCTTGTCTGGGTTCCTAAAGGACTGACCTACATCATAGATTAATGATGGTTTGTTTGACTGTCATGAACCCTCTGCTTTCACTCTGAGTGGAAAAGGAAACACAGTGGAACTAATGA